TGAAGCTGACTCAGTGGCAACTAACTAGCAATGCTTTTTCTGAATCATGATGTCACATTTTAGCAACCATAATTAAATATTTAATTTTCTGTACATTTCACAATTCAGTCTTGAAAGTACTCTATAAATAATAAGGTACCACAGAAAGTGAAATGAAGGAAAACAAAGGCTATGAAATTTAGGACATTAAGTAATAAACTATTGTTTTTGTGGGAGGAAAAAAAAATATGAGTATTATAAACAAAGGGGCTTTTAAAGGTTCATTGAAAATTTTCATTATCTTTTAAGTCCATTTTCCATGAACTTTTTGAAGTCCCCTCATACGTATATGGAGTCTTGGTGTGGCACTGTAGGATAAGCTCTGGACCGAAAAGGAGGTTTGAACTGCAAGGTCAGTAATTCAAATTCACCAGCCACTCATCAGAAACCCTATATAGGATCATTATGAGTCAGAACCGACTCTATGGCACTTAACAACAACAACATATATACATATGAGTATGAATATGTGGGCACATACGTGTGCACAGATGGATCTATAGGCATACACACATACAGGTGTATGTGTGCATACATGTATAGCCACACCAGGAGGTATCAAAATGTTCATGGAAAATTAAAGTAAAAGATAATGAAATTTTTCCACAAAATTTTTGAAGCTCCTTCATATATATATATTAAACCACATAGGGGCCACAATTACAGTTACTTCTTGTTGTTGTTAAGTAGCGTGGAGTCGATTCCGACCCATAGTGACCCTGTACAGGGTTTCTGAGGCTGTAAATCATTACAGGAGCAGAACGCCTCATCTTTCTCCCTCAGAACTGCTGGTAGTTTCGAACTGCTGACCTTGCAGTTGGCTGCCCAACTCATAACCACTATGCTACCAGAGCTCCCACAGTTACTTCTTAGACACAGCCAAACACCTTTTGAGATTGGTTTTCTGGGTTTGAAGGCTTAGAATGACAGTCTCCTGGAACAACTCAGTTAACTGGCATAATACAGTTCACAAAGTGTATATTCTACATTCCAACGTGAGAATACAACTGTTGTTCTCGGCTCATCCACAACAAGAGAGAAAGGAAACCAAAGACTCAGAAAAGAAAGTCTTCTAAATGCCTAATCTTCTCTGAGACCAGAACTAGACGGTGCCCAGCTATCACTACTGACCATTACCATCAGAATGACGGTAGACGGATCCTGAGAGAACAGGAGAAAAATGTGGAACAGAAAGCAAAATCTTAAAATATCCAGACTAACTGGATTGGTGGGAGGTCCTGGTATGGTGCTGTAGTATACTAAACTGCTGACCATCAAGGTTGGCAGTTCAAGCCTACCAGCCACTCCTCAGACACCCTATACAGGGTTGCTATGAGTCAGAACCAACTCAAGGGCACTTAACAACAGCAGGACTGGTTGACACTAGAAGATTCCCTGACACTATCACCCTGAGATACCATTTAAACTTTAAACCAAAATTATCCATTAAGGTCACCTTTTAGTTACTAACATTTTGTAGCTCATAAAATAAGCAATGTCATACATGAGTAATAAGCACCTTTAAAAAAAAAAATGTATGTGAGATCAAAGGGTCAAAAATTCCTTTAAAGCAAACATGAGAAGGTAATGGGGCAGAGAAGCTAGAACACTGGAAATGGTACAAGCAAATGAAATGGATGAGAATGATGACACATTGTGAATAATATAAGCAATATCACTGAAGAGCTTGTAGTATTGTTATTGTTAAGTGCCTTCGAGTCAGTTCTGACTCATAGTGACCTTAGTTAGGCACAACAGAATGAAACCCTGACAGGTCCTGTACCATCCTCACAATTGTTACGCTCGAGTCCATTGCTGTTGCACCTATGACAATCCATCTCATTGGGGGTCTTCTTTTTACTGACCTTCCACTTTACCAAACATGAGGTCCTTTTCCTGGAACTGGTCCCTCTTGACAACATGCCCAAAGAGGTGAAGTCTCACTACTCTCACTTCTAAGGAGCATTCTGGCTGTCTTCTTCCAAGACAGATAGTTTTGTACTTCTGGCATTCACTGGCACTTTCAATGTTCTTTTCCAACACCATATAATTCAAATGCATCAATTCTTCTACAGTCTTCCTTATGCACTGTCCAACTTTCACATGCATATGTTGTTGTTGTTACGTGCCGTGGAGTCGGTTCTGACTCATAGCGACCCTGTACAGAGTTTCCGAGGCTGTAAATCTTTACAGGAGCAGACAACCTTATCTACCCCTGCGGAACAGCTGGTAGTTTCAAACTGTTGACCTTGTGGTTAGCAGCCTGATTCATAACCACTATGCTACCAGAGCTCCTTTCACACGCATATGAGGCTACTAAAAATACCCAGATGTGTCAGACATACCTTAGTACTCAAACTGATAGCTTTGCTCTTGAATCTTTTAAAGAGGTCTTATACAAATTTGCCTAATACAATAAATTCTTTGATTTCTTGATTGCTGCTTCCATGAGTGTTGACTGTAGATCCAAGCAAAATTAAGTCTCTGACAACTTCAATCTTTTACTCATTTATCAAGATGTTATTTATTGATCCAGTTGTGAAGATTTCTGTTTTCTTTACATTGAGGTGCAATCCATACTGAAGGCTGTAGTCTTCGATCTTCATCAGTAAGAATTTTAAGTCCTCTTCACTTGGAATAGTTGATGTAGAAATTGTTAAATGGGAATCTTATTTGCTGTGTAAACTTTCACCTTAAATGCAGTATTATTTAAAATAATAATAAAAATGTGGGAAAGAAATAAATTATGTCTTATCACCTCAGAAAAATTCAGAAACTGAGATGGTATGAGATCCCTGAGACTCCAGAATATCTGAAACTTTCTCCATTTGTATCTCTGTTGCTAAGTGCCATCAAGTCAATTCCGACCCATAGCGACCCTGTATAGTTTCCAAGGAGCAGCTGATGAGCTTGAACCACTGACCCTGCAACTCAAACGACTTTGCAGTCTGACGCATTAGCCCACAGCGCCACACCAGGACTCCATTTGTATCTCTATTACCTTTAATCTTATATATTGGTTAAAAGACTAATGGTGCTTCTCATTAAGCTGTTTTGAGACCACTCTTCCTTAAGCTCTCAATGAGGTAGGTTTAGATGGAGAAGGATTAATCCAAAAGTATGAAGTAAGCACTGGACAATCTCCAGGAGAGAAAATTAGGCTGAGACCCTGAAGTCTATGGCCAAGCAAGAAAGAAGAGAATCATTCATCCCAGAGTCAAAGCCCAACTCCACCACTTAACAAAACTAGGCAAGTTACTTAACCTCTAAACTTCAGTTTTCTTGTCTTTAGATTAGAAACAAAACTGGCAAGTCTCTCAAGTAGTCTCATGGGAATTAAAGGAGATAATGCATTTAAAGCACGTAATACAAAGCCTAGACCAGAATGTTGTTACTGAGGTAAGTAGTAAGTTCTGACTCACAGCAACCCTGTATAGGGTTTCCAAAGCTATAAATCTTTACCAGAGCAGAAAACCTCATCTTTCTCCCTCGGAGCAGCTGGTGAGCTCAAACCATCAACATTGTTGTTTGCAGTCCAGTGCTTATCTTCTAGAGTCACCACATTCCCCAGAACAAAACATTAGCTATTATTATTAGTTTTTCTATCGTCAGCGTATGGTCTTAGTTTGAACTCCACATCCCCAGTTCCCAAGGTCTCAACTGTATTCAAGATGACTTAATAACAGAATCCCAGGTGCTATGTGGATGTTTTCTTTTTTTTTTGGGGGGGGGGGGCATATATTATTTCATTTAATTTTCACAGCAATATAATGGGGTTTAAAAAATATTATTATTTAGCCACCTAGTAGACATAGCAAACTGTCCCTCATCTGATTATTCAGTAATGCTTGTTAGTAATCTCATACATGAGCCCTGAATATCCACAGACAAATGTACAATCCTTCCCTAAAAGCCGAGACTGTAAATTCCAAAAAGGCAAGTTCCCCCGCACCAAAAAAAAAAAAAGAGAGAAACACTGTTAACTGATGACATATGGAGGGGATAATAATCAATGTAATGAAACAAGCTATATGAATGGTTGAATGTGAAGCTGATGATGTGCCCTGTAAACTTTCACTCAATCCAAAATAAAAACATTTAATAAAAATATATATATATATATTATTAGTTCATAAATGGAGAAGCAGACTTCTTCTAGAGGTTAAAATAGCTTGCCCAGGGACACACAAGGGTAGAAAGTGGAAGAGCTGGAACTCCACACAGCTCCAGGCCCCACCCTTTCTACCTCGCTCTGTGGATGTTTTCTTAATCCTGAGAAATACAGCTATCCATCCAATCGCTGTGGATCCTCTCCACCAAACTATAATAATAAAGTTACAGATAACAAAGAAGTAAACCTAACTCTTCATTCTATTATATACACATACTTGAGTTTGAAAGGAGCTCTGCTATTGTAGTGGGTTACAAGTTGGGCTGCTAACTGCAAGGTCAGCTGTTCGAAACTACCAGCCACTCCGCTAGAAAAAGATGAGGTTTACAGCCCCAGAAACCCTATCAGGGTCCCTATGAGTCCAAAACCGACTCAATGGCACACCACCACCACCATTCGGGGTTGAAATGGATTATAGATTTTGAAAAATCTCTTATCTAGTTCAAATCCAATTTTAATATATAAATTTTAATTCATGTGGTGCTGTAGGATAAGCACTGGAGCGAAAGGTCGGTTTAAACCACAAGGTTGGCTGTTCAAATTCAGCAGCTGCTCCTCAGAAACCCATATAGGGTGGCTGTGAGTTGGAATCAACTCAATGGCAATTAATAAAAACAACATTATCACCTACGGGAAATCAGGTTCAATGCCCTACAAAAAAAGAGTCAAGATGCCAGAAAAGTCATGAACAACTAAAATCACCTTGTATTCTAAAATGGATTAGGTGAGCAGTCTAAACTTTGATTGCCCCTTGGGAATCATCACAGATTTTTCCCAGGAAAAGCCTCACCTGTAACTTCAGAGATAAATTCTTGTGACCAGTCAGTCTCATTATAATCCTGAGTTACATCCACAGCATCTCCAGCTGCAAGAAACTCCTGGGCCCAGTTCTCAGACAAGGCCAAATCTGCCACACCAGGTGCTTAAAAGAGACAGAAGAAAAGAAAAACTTAACATTCCATCACACCTGAGGAACCTGAGTGCAAATGGAAACACTATGCTACTTTTGTCTCCAGCATCCAGTTCCACAATGCCATCAGCATTCAAAATTGAAACCCCCTTGGCCCTATTACACAGAAAATGTGACCTCCCCTCTCACCAGGCTCTAAACCCACCTCTCTGGGGAGCCTGGCGGAGGCTGGACTGTTCAATCTCCTGCATCTCCGCCAGAAGGTCATCCATCTTGAAAGTTTGAGGGGCACGCGATACAAGTGGTGCATTCTGGTCCTGCAGGAACTCAGTCACCAGCTGTCATGAAAAGATGATGCAATGAACGTATGGGGTCAGGAAGTCCCAGGAAGAAACAGGGTCCACTGGATGAAGGATACTGATGAAAGGATAATAAAGAAAAGAAGAACTTTTTCCCCCCTAGAGTTTGAAAACACTCAATTTTGAGGAGGAAAATAAAAAAGCAAGAGAGCTAAAGCAAATCTCATTTTGTCAGGAAAGTCCAAACTTTGAAATATGGGTGAGCCAAGTTTAAAGGGAAAAGTGCACTATGTCAGTTGCCATTGAGTTGATGCCAATAGTGGCAACCTATGTGTACTTAAGTTTTCAAGGCTGTGACCTTTGGAAGCAGATCACCAGGTCTGTCTTTCAAAGTGCCCCTAGGTATGTTCACACTACCAACCTGTTGGCTAACTAGTTATGATGGACAAGAGACTGACATATTTACCTCATCTTCAGAGGCTACTCCCAAAGGTTTAGAGACCTAAGACAGAAAGAAAAGAAGGCAATATGGTATAGTTACAGTGGTGAAAATACTTACATGAAGTCAAATAAGCAGGAGTTAAAATCCAAGCTCTACCATTTACTAATTATACACCTTGTTAGTGTTATTGTTAATTGCTGTCAAGTCGGTTCCAACCCATAGCAACCCTGTATAGGGTTTTGGAGGAGTGACTGGTGAGCTTGAACCACCGACCTTGTGGTTCAAATCTGCTTTGCAGTTTAGAGCATTAGCCCACAGCCCCACACCAGGAATCCAATATATTTATCTTAGACAAGTCATACAGTTTCTCTGGGCCTCAGTTTCTTTATAAAACTGTTGCCTTCTATACAACGATAAACAATGCCTAGTATGGTGCTGATTGTGTGGCTGTCGAGCTGGTTCCAACTCATAGTGACCCTGTATAGGGTTTCTAAGGCCGTAAATCTTTACAGGAGCAGAAAGTCTCCAATAGGGGCTAGTGAACACTCATTAAGTGGTAACTAATATTTGCAGCATAATAAAGAAAACAGTTATACCAAGGTGCACCTCTGGGCCTTCCATCCCAGCCCTCCACTTGGACTTTTCACTCACCGCCTCGGGGGTGGGGGCTCCCGGGGGCCAGGGGCCAGGCCTCAAACCCTCCTGTCGTAGGGCCTTGTCCTGGGTGAAGTGCCCAGCCAGCTTCATGAGTGGGTTGGCACCCCCGCATTCTGCCTCCACCAGCTCCCGCATTGCCATGGTGACCGCCGGCTCTCTGATGGGCAGAGAAGGTTTAGAACGGAGGTCCCAGAAGACGTACCCTTCCCCAACCCCTAACTCGGCCTCACAGATAGGGGAAGCAAGCAGATATGAGCCCCTCACGGGTCACTGGCCACCCTCCACCCTGTGCCTGTTACTGAAACCCCCACCAATGCCTAGAGTCTAAGGGGGGGCGCCAGGACCTCCCGCAGCCTCTTCGAAGGCCACAGCCTGGACCTCTTCGGCGGCCTCCACGTCTGCAGTCTCTGCCGACAGGACCCGGCTAACAGCAGCCCCACAAGGAAGGAACTAGACCCACGGGGGACCCTTCCACAACTGGGCTACACGGGGACACTAGCCAGGCACGAGAAAAGGAGACAACTACTGACTGTAAGCCCGGTACCCCGCACGCCCCCGTCGTCTTGTGAGCACCAGAGGGGGCACCCCATGCCCCTAGGTCACTTGGATCCCTCCCTCAGCTGAGCCCGGACCCGACCCTGCCCCCCGCCCTCTCGACCACCTCATCTTCCCTGGCCCTGTTCAAGACACGACAAGGGCAAGGAAGAAGGGGGATGTGTCTGCGCGTCCCCTCGGGGCCCTGTGCTCACCGCCGCGCGCAGCGCAGCTAGTCCTGCCGGGGTACCTGGTGCGGTCTGGAGGGGGAGGGGAGAGGGGCAGGGAGTCAGGGGGGGCGGGACTCGGGCTTAAAGGAGCCGTGACTGCCGCGCTGCAATCGCTGCCCGACGGAAGCTGTTTAAAGGGGCGGGGCCTTTAGGGTGCGACATAGCGTCAGGGAAGGAGCCGTGAGTCTTAAAGGGGAAGGGCTTCTAAAACGTAAAGTCTTAGAGGGTGAGCTCTGCACGCGCTAAAATCGCAGACGCTAAGATTTGGTTGGTGAAAGACTCAAAGGAAGAATGGAGCTGAGGCGGCTTCCCGGATTTTAGAGAAAAGCCAATGGCCAGATTGCTCATCCCTGTTTTTCCTGGGGGCACATTGTAATCCAAGGGGATTCCCTGCCCTTTCCCGGCCTCAGTTTCCCCCGCTAAAATAGAACTGTCCAGTCTTCCCCAGCCCCAAAGCAGTTAAGTGGAAAATCCTAATGAGGGGACCCAGGGAACTTGGTTAAATCCGGGGCCTTCTCTAGTCTCCCTGGTCTGCCCCCTTTCCAGGCATAGCGGGATAGCGTCATAGTTTCCATGGAGACAGAGTTCTGCAGCCAATCCCTTTGCCACCTCGGCGTAATGAGGAAAATAGCACAGAATGATGACTAAAGTCCAGAGACTAAAACAGGGGCCAACGCACACTGAAACCTCAAGCTGATAATACGCAGAGTAGGTGCTCAGAGAGTCACTCCTCTCCCCTTCTCCCTCCGTTTCTAGTATTCAAGGTCATTGTGGTGGCCTTATTCCTACTCCATCAGACTGGGAAAATCAGGTCTGCTGCAAGAAATATTTTTAAGGCGGAATGTTTTTAAGCCTCAGGCTCCACCATCTGCCAAGGAATTGGTTCAGCTGTCAAAACCTCAAGGTCACTGGGAAACAAACCTTGATCTCTCTCACCTGGCTCCAAGAACAAGGGAGTCGTGGAGTTATGTAGAAATGCAAGAGGGGTTTAGGATGGCAGGTAGATGACAAAAGATATAAGTAGTCCCAGCCAGACAGAAGTACCATTCCAGCTCAGTGTGCACCCGAGGAGGCAGGCAGACAGCAGGTGGCGCCCCGTTCCTAGCTGTCTTGCAGACAAAGCCGGTGGAGGCCCAGGAACCCAGAGAGATTTGGCAGTTTAAACTCATCTTTGGGAAAGCAGAGAAGCTGCTATTGGCACCTCAGGCACCTCAGGGAAATAGATTAATATAACAAACCTGAAGGTTATACAAAATTTCTCCTTTTCTTTGCCTTTTCACCATCTTTCAGAGACACCAATCCATCACCGCTTTTTCCCTGGAGTGCACAAATCCGGGCCCTGAGTGTCCACTGTTCTCAGGTTGCTACTATAAGGAAAATATCTGTTGCTGTTAAGTGCCCCTCAGTCGGTTCCAACTCACAGTAACCCTGTATAGGGTTTCTAAGGAGCACCTAGTGGGTTGAACTGCTGACCTTTTAGTTCCAAGTCCAGTGCTGATCCTACAGTGCCACACCAGGAGTTCTCAGACTAAGGAGGAGGGGATGTCCCCTAGAAAGTGCATACTTTCAAAAAGAGAATCCCAGAGAGGACACTTTTGCCCTGAGTGGTGCAAATGGTTTGTGGAACCTATAGATTGCTAGTTAGAACTTGCCCTGCCATAACACAGAAGAAAGGCCTGGTGATCTGCTCCCATAATGATTACAGTCAAGAAAACCCTATGGAGCAGTTCTACATTTTAATACACGGGGTCACCGTGAATCAGAATTCAGTCCACAGAAATGTGTTTGGTTTTCAGGTTTGGGAGAAGGTGGTATTTAGCTGGAAGTATATGATCTGGTAAAATTTCAAAACATCAAGGCAACCCAAGAGGTTTCCCTAGTTCCACTCAAACCACACAACACATGGCCTCCTGCTCCACTAAAAGCAATAATTCCTTATGGGTGTACTCTTAGGAGAATGGTCATACTGCTAGCCGGTGCTTTGAGTACTAAGGTGCAGGTACTGCACTAACCATTAATGAGCATTGACACATTTAATCTTCATACCATGTTTATAAAATAGATGTTACTTACTCCCATTTTACTCCTGGTGTTATACTGTAGGATCAGCACTGAACTGCGAACCACAAGGTTAGCAATTCAGGCGCACCAGCTGCTCCTCGGAAACCTTATACAGGGAACCAACTCGATGACACCAAACAATAACAATACCCCAATTAACAGCTAAGATTTGTCCCCAAACCATACAACTTCATTCTATGAAGCAAACATAACCCTGATACACAAACCAGACAAAGACACCACAAGAAAAGAAAACTTCAGGCCAATATATCTTATGACTATAGATGCAAAAATCCTCAACAAAAATACTAACAAATAGAATCCAACCATACATTGAAAAAGTCATGCACCTAGAAATTATTCTAGGAATGGAGAAATGGTTTAACATTAGAAAACCAATCAGCAAAACACACCACATCAATAGAACAAATGAAAAGAACCATATGATCATCTCTTTGGATGTAGAAAAGCATTTGATAAAAATTCAAATCCCTTTCTTGATGAAAAAATGTCTGTTTTGAGCATTATGCTCTTTTAATATCTGTCTATATGAGATCAATTTACAACAAATTGAAAGATTAGATAGAAACAGTAAGTTTATGTCAGTGACGGAAGAACAACTCAGAAAAGGAGGATGAGAAAGTTTGTAAAACTTGAAGAATAGAGCCAGTCACTAAGTTGTTCATGTAGAAACTGTTGAATTGTAGTATGTTTTGCTGTGTATATTCTCAACAAAATAAATAAAATTTAAAGGGGAAAAAAAAAAATAACAGATGGCAAGTCATAGTTTGCCAGCCTCCAACATAAACAGCCTGGTTCCAGTGCACATACATTTAACCATTACGCTATAATTTCTCTTTTTTAAAATCAAATTCCCTTAAATATTGCTAACTACTTAGGCACTTAATTTATTGTTGTTGAGTGCCATTGAGTCAGTTCCAACTCAGCAATCCTATAAAGGGTTTCCAAGGAGCAGCTGGTGGGTTTGAACCACAGACCTTGTAGATAGCAGTCCAGTGCTTATTCTACAGCACCACACCAAGACTCGTGTTTTAAAGCATTCTAAATGCCTAACAGCTAACAACTCTCTTTCTAACCTCTTTCTCTTTCTTACTTCTTCCTTATTTAATCCTTGTAAATCTAATAAAGTTAAAACATTTACCAAATTCTTAGTCCTTTTTTTTCTCTCTCTTAGTCCTTTTAACTTAAAATCACAAATCTAAAATCATTTTACTCCTCAGATTGAAGGCTAATCATCAGAGTCTATTAAACATCAGGCATTTTAACTCATAGTCACATACTTCTGGAATGCAAATTTACTAACTCAGGTAGTTCAAGATTACTGAGTTAAATTTGAAACTGTAGTACAGATACCTAGAGGTCAGAGATTTAAGACTTGGATACTAGACATAGGAGCAATTTAGTCCCAAAAGCATTCTATCTGAACCATATGTGAACACCCTCTGCCCTGTCTCAGAGGGTGTCTGCTGTCTCATGAATCTCTAGGGCTATTCCCTCCAACTGATAATAGTGTTCAACTCTCAGTTGCAACTTTACCTAGTTTTTACCATCTGATAAAGTAATTGAAAAGCTACACCCACATATAAGGTGCAACTAATTTCTTTCACAACTTCACTTGAGTAATAAGTCTCTTTATAAGTGTTAAATTTCACCTCCCATGTTGTTGGGGGTGGGGTTGGGAAATGGGGGCCACCATCTGGTTTGATACTTTCATTTTTTAACAGCATAATATGCTGAATAATGGAAGCTTCCATGCTGTGAATATTGTAAGTCAAGGTACAATCTGCACACAGGTACATTTGAAAGGGTTTATTGATTATGATTACTCACCCATCTTTCAGCCTCAGCTGTTGCCATTGGCACAGATACTTTGGCAAAAGAAGAAAGCTGTTTGTGTGGTGAAATGCAACAAACCCCAAAATTGAGCCCATCTAAATACCTGGACAAATCCCAATTGGCTTTGAAAGTGTTCAGAGTAGTGATTATCTATATGCAATCAGGCATGTCCAGCACAGCCTATACATATTTGAGTATACAGTACCTAGCTATTCAGTGGCCACACAGTAGGGGATTCCCCTAGATAGCAACAAGGACTTTGGTACCCATGCTTATAGCAGAATGTAACACCTTTAGAAATCCAGAGAGGTTTCACAATATGTCATCCTTGCCAAAATCCAATTGGGAACTCTTAATACCACTTCCCAACCCCCATCTAAAAGAAGGGAAAAAAGACTATAAAGAGGTCTTGTGCAGCAGATTTACCTAATAAGTCGTTCGATTTCTTGACGGCTGCTTCCATGAGTATTG